TACTGCTGTCCTGCACATGTGCATTCTGATTGCCTTTGCCATCACAACTACCATAAGTAGGACTACTGCTTCCCTGCCCATGTTCATTCCGATTGCCTTTGCCATCACAACTACCATAAGTAGGACTACTGCTTCCCTGCCCATGTTCATTCCGATTGCCTTTGCCATCACAACTACCATAAGTAGGACTACTGCTTCCCTGCCCATGTTCATTCCGATTGCCTTTGCCATCACAACTACCAAAAGTAGGACTACTGCTTCTCTGCACATGTGCATTCTGATTGCCTTTGCCATCACAACTACCAAAAACAGGACTACCACTTCCCTGCACATGCGCACTCTGATTTATTTTGCCATCACAACTACCAAATATAGGACTACTGCTTCCTTGCACATGTAAATTCTTATTGCTTTTGCCATCACGACTACTAAGTATCGAACTACTGCTTCCCTGAAAAGGTACATTCGTAACACTTTTACTATTATGGCTTCCAAATAAAAGACTACTGCTTCCCTGCACATTGAAATTCTGATTGTGTTTGCTATCACAACTACTAAATATAGGACTACTGCTTATGTGCACAGGTGAAATCTGATTGCTTTTGCTATCACAGCTACCAAAGACAGGACTATTGTTTATCTGCACATGTCCATTGACATCAGTCTCAACATGAGTGGGATTTAACATTTTCAATGTCACTGCTGTGTGGTCTTCGGTTTGCATAAGTTCTTCAGAGAAATGCTGTTTCGCATCAGAGGCATGGTGAGCAGTACGCTCAAGATCTGCAGTTGCCTCACACGAGATTTCTTTTGCTGAAGCAGTTGATGCCACCTTATTATTATGCATGGCATCTCTATTCTGTATGTCTACAGATACGTGATTCTTACTAATGACACGCTGACATACTGCGAAGTATATGGAATAGATACATTCCAATTGGAGCACCTTGATATGCATGGTACTAGCACTACCTGAAACAGATATAATCTAAATATAGATATATCACATTTGCACTGCGTAAAACTGAAACACAAAACTAAAGAAAGATATTTCGTCTTTTTACTTAAAAAATACTTGCTTACCATTAACATGTAGCCTATTCTTTAGTAAGTAATTAAAGAGTTACAATGTTTTTTTATGATTTATTCCTTCTTAGTGTCTTTTCTACTTCATTATTACTTATCAAACAGCCCACATTCAGTCATTCATTAGATAGAAATCTTATACAAAAGGGTTGCATTTATTTCATCAACTTAACAACAAATGTATCACCAGTAAAAGCATTTCTGGCAGTGCAGTGAAGGTAATTCGAAGACTGCTTTAAATATGAGACCAACTTACATTTACGTGTAATGTGTGGCATACATACGTTTTGCATCAGTAGGTCTGTGTGCCATTGAATGTTTCCAAAATGACAGTGCTGAACTCTCGCTGCATTGAAGCTTGTGCAGTTTCTCTGCCAAGCCACCTCTAATACCAGAAAATACTATAATTTACCATACATATCATACAGATATCACGATACTGACGATCATTATTGAGATCCTTTGTGAGCCAATCAATTTAGTGAGCTGAGTGAGTATAACAGTCTCCCACATAACTGTTTGTGGACCAATGGTTTCCATGTATTACACCTTGTCTTTAAAATTTCCCTCAGTTCTAGAACTTACTTAACAAACTGGTTCTTTCTCTTCTTTGCAGAATCCTCTGGTGGTGAGGGTGTAAGACGTTTCTGTGGTGTTTTCAGCCGGATGCATTTCAACCAATCACTGCCCTTCCTTGTGCAATGTGTATCAATTTTCATATTGACATCCTCTGATACGGCTGGAGATTCTATGTTCTATCATAGGAACTAATAATTACATTTTTGCTGTCACAGTAAACTAAAGTCTTTGAAACACCAACTATATGCTAAACTATATGCTTCAATGATGTCACAATGTGATATTTTATTATTATAAACATTGAGGCCTACGTATTGAGAAGTTGAGAACATCGATTGCAAATGAATGGTGGCACATACAACTGATGCATTCATATCAAAATCAGAATATCAACCATATTTGATTTCTACATCTAAGAATGTTCTATTAATCATCATGTAAATACCAGTTGCCCTTTAACCTCACACACATCATTAAAGTCCATTTTTCAGTTTTACGCAAATGATGTTGACTGTAGTGATTTGTTCGTAAACAAAGATGTGATATTCATAAAACCTATAAAATATTGAGAGCAAACCTGCAGCTCAGCCACCATGGCAGTATCTTCTTTGTATTCACAGCCATGTTTGTCTGCACTAAGGCCTTCCTCTGAACTGTCAAACTCAGATATAGTTCCATCTTCTGGATGCTGAAATGACAGATTGACAGATACATGCCACAGTGGTATAAGCAATAAGTTATAGCTATATGTGAAAGTAATGATAATAACCATATTTCGTGGGTTATAGGACACGTATTTTTTTCTCAGAAAATGGCAAATTATATTCTAGAACCTGAATACCAAACGTTTGCATGATAAAATGTATCTAGATTGGAATTAAGATGGATGGATTAACTTTGCATGACAAAGTCGAGAAACATATCACTACTATGTTTAGCAAAGCTTTTTAAGGTACAGTATCTTATACACCTCCGCAAAACAGCGTACAGTATATAATACGTAGCAAATGGTGACAGTTAGGAGGGCTTATGAAACACAGGAAATTTCAAAGGAATAACAAGAGTGTGGCATTATTTATAGTGAGCATGTACATGGTATTGCGGAGGGCTACTATGCACTCAGTTTCGAAAGGCTATTAATGTTGGGCTGTTAATTAAGGCTCTGGGGTGTATCTAATGTGACGAAGCATATCTTATAAACAGTGAAATATGGCATACACCATAAATCAAGGTGGTAAAATAAAAAATAAACCAGGTAATAACAGGGGACATGCAGTGCCATAACCTGTTCATCGTCGGAACCTAATAGTTGCGCAGAGCAGTGAGATGTTGGTGTCTCCTGGTCTTGATCAATAAAATCTTGCTGTCTCTTGTTGCCAATTCTTTCAGAATCCTCACTTGAGTCACACTCAATCACCTGTGAGCTAGCTGTGCTTGATCTTTCTGTGAATAAATGAAACTATATGTCATGAAGAAAATGTCTAAAAGGCAACCCTCTAAAATAGGGCTACTTATATTAGTTTAGCCTATGGTACTTATCTCTACTTAATAAGTTTTTTTGTTTTTATGTATAATACTACTACTGCCATTGGTTATCAGAATATTGCTTGACTGAGACAGAGAAAATGTTATGATGTTATAATCAAGCAAAGCAGTTTGGTTGATTTTTTTTGAAAAATAATAATATAATTCTCTTACAATTCCATTCAATTTCTCTAGAAAAATAGGAAATTTTGCTTGCACTTGCTATTGCATTAGCAAATGCTACAGGTATCCTTCTAAATCTGGGTTCAGTTCCAGCACGAGTTTCTATGAAAAATTGCACGTAAAACGTGTATGGTACTTCAGTGTATTAGTTGGTTTTAGTAGTGTACGTGTATCTAATAAAGTTAACAACAACCATTATTTAATGCTTACCATTTTGACACATAAGATGTAGTAGGGGATTCTGAGTAAAAGTGCCATGGTTAACACGCAATCTTCTTTTCTAAAAAAAGCAGGTTACACATTAGTATATGGCAAGTTTAACATTCAGCTTTCTATACGAAACTCCTCTTTCTATAAGTTACTACATCATTTCAGTGCTTTTACTCATTCTTCTGCTTAGATACACTGCACTTCCAACATCTAATATAGTAAATAAACATAACGATAAAAATCATACAATATTTACATCTTCCTGATTAGATATAAACCCTGCCATTCTTCTATGCCAACTTTTTGATGGGGGTGTCATCATCACAGAAGGAAGCCAACTCAAAATCTTGTTTTTCTTATTGTACTACTGAGCTGTTGGTTTACACACCCTATAATAGAAACAAAAGCAAGGCACTGGTAATAATGTAGCTCTAGTAACTATAGCCCACGTACGGTTTGCTGCGGCAACCGTACGCGGGCTATAGTTACTAGAGCTAGTAATAATGATGCTGACATTATTATAATTTTTATTACTATGTTTGGGCCGGATTTATCTAGCTTAGTAAAGGCCAAGACACACTGCAGTATACATTGCTGCCGCTGCACACTGGCATATAAATATATAAATATACTACCTATATATTTATATGTCAGTGTGCATGCAGCGGCAGCAATGTAATGGCGGCAGCCAGTGTTTGTTGTAGATGAGCATTTGGACGGCATTTACAGGAAATTGTCGGCAATAATAGGTGAAAGAGAGTATAGAAACATTAAAAGACTTTGGTAGTAAATAGATTTCGTATTTATTTAGCATTATATTTTATTGAAATGCTCCAAGTGCCTGTGCTACGGTCACTGTATGACACGTACAGTACGCAGTACATGATAATTTGCTGCGTATATTTTACTTTATAATATTATCTTATCCTTATACCTAGAAAGTTTTTGCAGCCTGTTATTTAAACGCTGTGGCAATATGCCCGGCAGCCGGGCACGGTCTTCGATTTCCTAAATACCCGGCAGTTCCTAACCCTAACCCTTGTTTACTTGAGATAACGCTGAAAATTAAAAACTGCCGGGCATTTAGGAAATCGAAGACCGTGCCCGGCAGCCGTCAGATATATGCCGGCTGCCGGGCATATAGCCACTCTGTTATTTAAAAGCAGCAGCATGAGTTTTTTTCCGTTTGTTCATGTGTGAACTGTGACCTAACATCGGTCGCTGTCGCTGCAGTGTTTGCGCCAGTCGCCGCAACTTTTGTCGTTTGTCGTTACGGTCGGGCGCTGTCGCTGCAGTGTGGCTTGACCTTAAGGCCGCAAATGGAAAATATTTCCTTCTGTAATAATACTAATACTAATAGTACCTTATGCCCCCCCCCAGTACAGGTGTGCATGTACGACTATAGAAATAGTAATACTATTACGTGGATGTGTACGTACTACGGTGTAGCGTACAGTATACAGTCTGTGTATAGACCACTAAGTGGTTTATAATTACAATTACTCAGACCATAATTATGGGATCAAGGATGGATAGTTTGGGACCACCGCATGTGTTTTCGCATATATCTACATCCAAGTTATGTTTAATCTCAGTAAAAACTCCCAGTGGTAGTTGGAGTAGTCCCACGTTACGCAAACTCACGCTGAGAGGGTCTATGTCCCCCAGGGTACTGCCGGAACGTACCCTGGGTAGGGTCCGGTATACCGAGACGTACCCTGGTACTATCTAATATGTCGGCGCGTAACTCGCCTACTCCACTAACGAGTCTAGGTAGTCGCCTACGTCTACTCCCTAACCCTAATCCTAACCATATTATCAAAATAGTGACCAGCTAGGGTACGTTCCGGTATACCGGACCGTACCCAGGGTACGTTCCGGCAGTACTCTGGGGGACATAGGCCCTATGAGTATGAGTATGAGCCAAACTCACCAGTTTGCAGAAACGAGAATATGGAATTTGTAAATTTATGACCGATAAACCCCGACTATCAGTATAAGTATAACAAGTATTAGCTCTACTAGTACTATAGGCTAGCCCGCTATGCCACAGGCAGTCACTGTACGCGGGCTATAGTACTACTAGTACTACTAGAGCTAAACAAGTATAAAACTTAAACATTCACAAAGGCAGCAACGTAAATATGCTGATGCTCTGGTAGCCCGACCAGGCTGTGCGACGGATTGTCTATACTTAAATTCACTCTTATTTCTAACCCTAGCAGTAAACCGACCAGGCTCTCCGACTGTTACACGACCTCTCGTCACGTAGTGTTAAGCGAGATGGGAACTTGTGGCTAACACTAGCAGTAGCGCTCATAGGGTCTATGTCCCCCAGGGTACTGCCGGAACGTACCCTGGGTACGGTCCGGTATACCG